TGGGAACTGCAACCTTTTTTGCTGGGGAAACCATCACTTTCTTTGCTGGAGCTGTGGTAGCTTTCTTGCCTTTTTTCTGAGGAATGACGACCTCAAAAACAAAACAAACATAAGTGTTTCTAAACTCAAAAAGGGAGCCTTGGTCCCATAAATGGGTACTAAATTCTGGCACTGCTTCTGCTTCAAAACCACATGCATTAGCTCTATGTTAGCACATTAAACTGTAGGGTCATGTTACATGTCCTTCTATATACCTGTGAATCAATCCTCATTTTCAGATAAATACCCAGGCATAAGGAACACTTAAAATACCTCTGACCCAGACCTGTGAGTTTCTGTATCTCATACCTTATAATTGCTTCAGCTTTGAAGCAACACCTTAAAATGGACTCTGAAGTTCTGGTTGAGATAGAGTAGGTAAACATGCTTGCTTCCTCCCATGACACTAAAATTACAACTAAATTACGAAACAATCAACCTGGAGAACCCTATGAAGACTAGTTGAATAAAAGTCCTATTAACTAAAGAAGCCTGGTATCTACATCAAGACTGACATCTACATATGTCAAAACTCAACCAAGTGTACATCTCACATATATGTACTTATTTATATCTCAATGAAACTGTTAAAAAATAAAAAGCAATCCTGTCCAAAATTTTTAAAATGGACTCTGAAAACAGATTGCTGAAAATAACAGAACCAACATTATGTTGCTTTAAGGATTATGAATTGGTTTATATACCTAAAAGCCTTTCACTGAGAAAGCTCTATGTGTTAGGCGTTACTAAATCATTGGGAGTTCTTCCTGTCGGTGGTGGTATAAAATTCACTGGAAGTTCATTTTTAGGGCCATGAATTAAATGAGTACCAAACAGGCAGGACAGTCAATCCTTACATCATTACTACCAATTAAAAAATGAGCCTTTAGCTTGGTAAAAACATCATTTATCTACAGTTAAGTCACACTCAAACCCACTTTTTGTTGCCCATCGGTTGTATCAGGTAATGGGTTAGAACAAAACCTTTACTAAATTCCAAACAAAAAAATGAGCAAATAAAGTGGTTCATTGTCGATAGTAAGCAACCATTCAGAAGTATCAAAAAGGGTCAATGTTAACACCAAGGGAGGTGGCAAACCTCACTTCACAACAAATTATGACAACTAGTATTACAAACCTCATATATGAAGAACAGAGACCTGCCTGGAGGCTAGGAAAGGAACCAGCTAAGCCTAACTTCAGACTTCAATACAATACTCAGCACTGCCACTTATAGGACAGCTAGTTGTCCAGGCTGTTTCCTCATCTAGCATAACGTGTTTAAACTGGAGAACAGTAATGATTTAATAATACGTGATCACACTAAGCCCTGCAGAGTTCATGAAAAGACTCCTAATCTTTTCTCTCAAGCTCATCCAAATACTTACCCTTATGGTATCTTGACAAGTCAATGAAGAGCTTGTAAAAACGACCATTACAACAAGTCATATATATGAGTGAATACAATCATTTTTGTCAGTATTTTCAGATATCCCATACCACCTGTTTTTGCTCTCCATTTTGTAGCTTAGCATAATTCTGCATTAAATTGTATATAATTACCTCTTCTCCGCTGCTTTCATCTTCTTCATCCTCTGACATTTCCTCATCTTCACTATCTTCTTCTATCTCCTTTGGGGGAGGAGCCATTTTCTT